TCCTCAGATAAACTAGTACTACAGGCTACAGCAGATAAAGTATTATGAAAACTAATGTCAGGTCCTAGCCTTGCATTGGGAGATGATCTGCATGCCGATTTTGTGTTTCTGGAAGAATTGGAGGACTCCATCCTCTAAGACATCCTCCTCTGCCACTTTTGCAAACCTCTCCAAGGCACTGGCCATTCCCGAGATATCATCTGCGAGCAGATCACGGGTCAGCTCGCACGTGAATATGACATTCTCAAATAGGCTGTTGCTCTTCTGGTCACATACTTCCGAAGCCAGGTTCCTAGCCTGGTTCCGCCCCCAGGACCCATCTTTCAACACGTCCTCCTTGCCCAAAAAGGTCGTCATCCGACTTTCGACGTCCGCATGCACAAACTCGCGGACATTGTCCGAGACCCCCAGATCATTCAGAGCACAAACCTGAAATGAACAATATAATATAATATAAGTTTATTATTAATAGTGACAACGCAGTATTCGTCAGGATACCAATTTCACTCTAGTGAAAGAACTTAAAGACTTAGTGACTTGACTTAGTACTACTTGTTACGAGTCTATGAGATAATTATAAGTTTGAATTCATAATTCATAATCATCCAAGAGTCCAAAATCCTGAATGCATGCCAAGCGACCTCTTTGCTGTCTTCGCAAAGCACGCCAACATAATCCGAAAGGTTTTTGAAGAGGATCTTCTCATTCAATTTGCACTCCAAGAGCTTAAACCAAAAACAGGATCCAACACGAATGAGCCCGTTCTCTTTCAAACATTCGTACAGATCCTCAATGGCTTTGGGACCGCCAGTGGTCGAAGCCAAGGCCGTGTTCAAGTCCAAAGCATGTTGGACGAGCGACCGCAATGACTCAAAACCCTCAATCTCCGACTCGAAAGAGACTTTGTTTGGACTGTTCTCAATACGACGCATGGAGTTCTGGACGGAATTTGACACCCCGGTCAAAGACCGCTGTCGGGCGGCATGCTCCTTCTTGTCCAAGAAGTTGTAGTCATTTCCAAAACCGAGCTGACCCTCGAACTTGAGCTTGAGCTCCGCAAGCTCCTTCTTGAGGCTGTCTTTCAATCTCATGCCACGACCGTCCAAGTTCAACGTCTTTGCTGGCGAAGCGACGGCACCGAAATCATCGGAACTCGGCTTCTTCGCTGGCTGGCTCGGAGCGCTTGCTTTAGACGGCTGCTGCGATTGTGTCTTTTCCACTGGTGGCAATGAGACTGAAACTGTCGATCTTGTTGGCCCTGCCTTCGCGGTCGATGCTTTGGGAGCGGCTTTCGGTTGAGATTTCGCTTTAGCTTTCTTCTTTCCTGCCAAGCTTTGCAAACGTTCCTGAGCTTTGCCCTCATCGTCACTTTCGGAACTTGACTCATCCAGCTCTGCATTTGACTCATCAGAACCATCCGACTCCTTTTGGTCGTTGTCTGCAGGTTTTGCCAGGCCGGAGGCCGCTGTTGCATTTCCTCCAAGAACAGAGCTTTGCAACAGGGCCAGGATGCCCTCTGCATCATAAGACGTGGGAGCTGCCTCAACAGCCTTGGAGACACGTTCCTGATGAGTCTCAGTGAATGCCGCCTGTATGGCCACTTTCTTATTGGCGAGGGCCTGGTCAGCGAACATGGCTTTCGAATCCTTCTTGGAGTGTTCTTCCGTCTCCGTCCGGGCCTTTTTCGTGTCGAAGTTCCTGACATCATAACAACCCCTTCTTCCTCTCATCTTGTAGATTCCTTTGACGGTTTCACCGTTGATCTCCTGCGACTCATATTGATTACTTGTTAACAGTTAATAGCCCTATTCAGCCCAAAGCCCAAAGCCCTAACTAAACCGCTCACCCCCCCATAACCTAAACCCTGAAGCTGAAACCCTATGCCTATGCCGTAAGCCCTACTGAACTCCTCCTAAGCACTAAGCACCAAAAAGCCTGCCTCTTCCACGATTTTGGTCTCGTCCAGAACGCCGTCCTCCTTGGCATCCCATTGGGTGATATCGATGAACTGCATCAAGGGACCTTCGAATCTCACGCCCGTATCTTTCACCGTCTTTAAGGTAGAGGCGGTCTTCAAGTCCTCCTTTTCACGCTTCTTGGTGCGAGCCCCTGCCTGGCCACCTTTCTTCATTTTTTTCACGTACTCTGCACGACTCTTCAAAAACTCATCATGATCCACTTGCTTAGCTTCTACTTTCTTGAGGTACTCTGCCTGCGAACCATATTTGTGGGGGAAGCCCAACAAGCGATAGACGTTTCGGCAGATTCCGTCTGAGGCTCCTACTGGCACCCGGACCACGCCAGAGGCGGACTGCACTTTTCTGTATTTTCCCCACGCGATGCACTTCTCATCCCCCTCTGTGCTCGCTGCATCAGAGCAGCCACCGGTGCTTATAGGATTCGGGTCGCTGCTTTTGCAACCACAAAGTCCACAAACGCAGGGCTTCTTGGGGTGCTGTATGGGGATCGCGGAGTCGTCGCAGCAGCTTCTACCCAAGGATGTCTTGGATCGGGCGTCAGCTTCAAAGCCAAAGCAAGACTCCCCCCCATCGCCGAAACCATCCTGAACCTGTGAGTCATACTTACTTTAAAATTGGGGACCTGGGGGCTAAGCCGATATCTACACTACTACACAAGTTAGACTACAATCCACAATGCGTATGGTATAGACTCCGTATAGACTATGGCCTATGGCTAGGGCCTAAGGCTTTCTACTTGCTAATGAAACCATGCTAAGTTCAGCTGCTGTAATAGAAGACTTAAACACTCGAGGATCGGTAACATCCGGGCCTCAGCCGCCTTGCGCTTTTTTGAAGCCTGGGTTTGCTGAGCTTTTCTGGCTGCTGAGGGAGAAGCACTGGATGCCGAGCTGCTGCTGCTGCTGTCGCTATCACTAGCCATGGCTTGTCACGGCACACTCTACTGGTTGCGAACCTCCGAGGAAAGAGGAATCTATAGTCTATCATGATTCATGATCTATGCCTTCAAATCTCAATTCATTGACTACGGCATGGGACTGCCTCCTCGGGCGACACTAAAGACTTTCACTTTCAGGGCTCGGCTTCGAGCCTGGTCGTCGCTTCCAGCCAGCAGGAATGCTCAGAACTTCTCAGTGAGTTTTCAGCCTACAATGCCGATGCACGATTGCTTTTCCCCCTGGCTGCTGCACACAGCTCGAGAGATGTCGTTGGGATTGTTGCCGCTTGGCCCACGGCCCGTGCTGGAAATACCTTAGCTAGGCTCTGTGCCCAAGTGCTGCAAGTAATTTCTCAGAAAAGTACAACAGAGTTCTATCCGAATCTGTGAATTCCCAAATTGGTTTTACAATATTTGTAATATTTTCAGAAATATTTGAAACAATTTTAAAACTATTTTCAGAAATATTTGAAACAATTTTAAAATATTTCTAAATATTTAAAACTATTTTAACTTTTAAAAAAAAAAAACGGAATGTGAACACTAAACACAAATTAGTGTTCACAAAACCACAATTAGTGTTCACAAAACCACAATTAGTGTTCACATTTTAATAATTGAAATATTTCTAAAATTGTTTTATTTATTTGAAAATATTTCTAAAATTGTTTTATTTATTTCAAAATATTTCTAAAATTGTTTGAAATATTTTAAATATTTTTTACTGAAATTGAAAATATTTCGTAAATATATTCCAGAGGATCCGAAAATTTGTATTTATGTGGCCTTTGTCGTGCAAGATATAGGAATTAGGGAGGTCCAAATTCTTGGACGGAACAGAAGCCCCCTGCCCCCTCTCCCCTTTCACAATCAGCTGGAACGAGAGTCATTCTGAGGCATTACAAGCACAGCCCACTTTTTGAAACACTCCAATCAGGTACGCAGTTGCCACAAAACAACTAAGTACTTCTAAAACAAAACTCTAAGACTCTAAGACTTAAACTGTCAAAGAACACTTCTGAGCAAACCCCAATTCAAGAACACGTCCTGCTGCATGCATGTAATGTCATATTCCGAAGGAGGACTGCCTACTACGACTAATGTCCAGCCTGAGACAGAGAATGCTGTTATTGCAGACACGCGGCTACAGAAGAGACCCGTCTGCCTATCACTCCAGGAAGAAGATTCGCTGGGAGACCATGCAGTACCACTAGAGAAATCCAGCCCAGGACGGAGTCCGACCACCCATTAACTGAGGTAGGCTGCGACCTCGATATCCATTTCCTCCTCGTTCTTGCCCTCCGCGAAACTCACCAAACCCGGACCCCCCATCTTCACGTGATGGGTTCGCGGATTGGTTTGGGGAAACTCATCATCGTGCAAACCGGCACACAGCCAACGTTTCAGTCTCAGAATGCAAGTAGCATCATCCATGGTCCCATAGGATACTGCTTTTTTGCACTGGGTGCTGCTAGCCCCCTCACCTCTATCCCAATGCAGGTTGCAAATTGCACCCCAGCCAGTTTGTCTACCATGATGAGGTACAATAGGTGACAACATAAAGGGACCCCAGGGTATACCTCTTCGCTGGTTTCGGCGAACAGCCCGCTGGCCCGGGTCCTCAGCGACGGGAGCAGGCGGAGGGGGAACGGCAGCGGCAGCATCGACATCGCCTCCCGCACTTCTTCCAGCTGAGACAGCGGATGAAGATACATGACCTGCTGAACTCGAGGGCCTTTCCATATCTGGGCCTGGAGTCTCCGCTTGTTCAAGTCCCCAAACATCATCCTCGTCATCTCCGCTGAAATTCCCCTCCCACTCTGCATCATCAAACTCAGCTGCACCATCATCATTATCATCATTATCCTCTTCTTCCAGTTCGTCATCTCCGTCATCACCCGCAACAAGACGAGGACGGGCGGCTCTGCCTCTGCCACGACGTCTACCTCCGCCCCGGCCACGCATGTTCTGAGACCGCGGCCGTGGCCTCCTCTGTGCTCTCTGCAGCAATCGCACAGCCCTGAGTGCACGCTCTTGTTCCTTGAGCTGTGCTGCTTCAGACAGCAGATCTTGCAAATCATGAGGTAGCTTGTCACAAACCAGAAAAGAAGACAGGTCGTGTTGCAAATCCCCCAAAGTCAAACGAGATATATCCCATGTCCGACTTCTGGTTGCCAAAGATTTGCAAACGGATAGGTCATTGTTCCAAATGATGCTACCAGTGAGTCTCTCTTTCTTGAACTTGAGAGTGAACGGAGGGCTCGAATCCACTGTGAGATCTTTGTCCGAGTCCAGTTCCAGAAATATTGCATCGACATTTTGCATGTACGTGCGAAATGCAAGCATAAAGATAGCACTATCTTTCTGGTCCTTGCATTCAAAAAGAAGCGTCAGGGGCAAGGCACTGATGTTTTTCTTTGCTGGGTCGAATCTCTTGATCAGCACGGACAAGCACGTGTGCAAGCGGCCGAACACAACGGTCTCCTCTTCAGAACAATCCGCAACACAACTTGCATGCGGACAAGCTTGGAACAAAGTTCGATCATCACGAACGGCGATATCCTGCGCGACTGACATCGGTACGGCATGCGCCTGCAATATTTCATAGGCAGTTTCAAGTAATAAATAATAAGTAGTAATAAATAATAAGAATCGATCTCCCTGACCTGATCCAAAGGTCCAAAGACCTCATCTCGTAACTATTGGGCCATTGTACATTATAAACTGTATAAACTCAGCCTTAGCACGTAACACCACAAGAACCATAAATTCCCGCCTGACACCATCGATTCTGAGCCGAGGCAAACGTGTGCTGGGCCCGAAAATCGGTGAGAAATTTCTCAGACAACGGCCACTGTGCCGAGGGCTGAGATAACTTCCAAGGCCCGCCAGGGACATCGGGCGGCCGTTTTGCAGCAGCCGCCATTTGCAGAGCTGCTTTACGAGCATTGCTCTGCCGAGCTCGCTCGCCCCACGATTTCTTCTCTTCATCGCTCAGCAACTTCCACGCCTCCTGTGATTCTTCCAGGAACTGCCTTGATGCCTGGCTTCCACGACAAGAACCACTCATGGACTGACGTCTGTCTTGAGCAAATAGATGCATGCCATTCTGTCGTGCTACTGTGTCAGATTTACGACACCAGGAAGGACGACGAGACCAGCTCTGAGAGCGAGGTGCCTGGATACGATGTTTCCAAACCTCCACAGCATCTTGGAAAACCCTGGTGATGTGCTTTGCTGCCAGAAGAGCCAAAGAGACTCCCTTCCCCTTGACATCTGTCCAATGATTGAAATGAGCAAACCTTCTCTCCACAAAGGTTGATGTCAGTACCACTCTTTCAAACACGACGAACATGAACTCTCTCAACTCAGTGGACAAGCCTTGCTCTACCGCTCCTTCTCTCACGACCAAAGCCTTCAACTTGCCACTGAAGCCAGCATCCAAACAGCAGGCGGGGGCATTGCATAGTTCTCGAAGTAGTCTTTTCTGATAGTCCAGATCTATGTCGGGGAGCGATAGTTCATACAGCTTCCATGGATAGGAGAGGAAAGGCTCGATCACTTTTCTTGCCAACTGACCAATAGTGAGCAATATACTTCTCAAAGCAATTCGCTTCCGGGCCTGAGGCCAATCTTCGAACTCGCCGAAGAAGAAACACAGCAACCTGAAAGCCGAACTTGGGTCCTCCAGCTGGAATTGAAGTTCCTTCATCACTTTCTTGCCGGGGTTCTTGGATGGAACACAAAATTGCCCTACTGTCAAGATTTGCTCTTGTACGTCGCTGGCTGTTGGACCCGGCTGCTTTCGGCCTCGATCTGAATACCACGTGGCTGTCTTGAAGAGAATCCAATGGAGCTTCATGCACGGAGCTGCAACAAGAACCCACAACATATTCAGGAATCGTGCTTGCCCATCACAAAGGAAACTGGTTGCTTTTGCATTGCGTTTTTTTGCTAGCTTGATCCATCGCTTGACTTCATTGATTGGAACATGCAGGGCCTCATCATCTGCATCATCGGAACTATCCAGCTCGGAGAGCGAATGCACCTCTCGATCTCCAAATCTCTCCCGAAAAATAGACTGGGCCACATCACTGAAAGACCCGAGAAGCACACACGCGCCGATGCACGGAAAGACCTTCGTCCACTTGTTCAAGGCCGGGACAACAACAGGTCGAAGTAAGCACTCAGAAACCAGAGATGACGCCTTGACTCTCGCTTCGGCCTCATCTCGGCAGCATCCAGCGCAAACGTGAGTTGGTGGTCCTGCATCACGAACGAACTTTCTATGTCTCTTTCTTGCTGGACGATGGATAGATGGAACATCATTCGAACAAGACTGTTCGTGTCGTGTCGATCTAGCAAAGACCAGCAGCAAAGACTACACGACTGCATGACTTTATGCATTCGACATCAGTTCAATTATCCTAGAATACCGCAAGTATATGTATAAGAAAATATTCTGTCATATGAACCTGAATATGAAATGTGGATATCGGAGGGGCTGAATCACTGGCAATCATTGGGGCATTGGGGTCACTGGGTTCTTGATTCTTGATTTTCGACCCCAACTAGATAATAGTTAGTTAGAATAAATAACAAATTATGTAAAGTACAGCTTCAGTTGCAACAACAGTCGAAGCAGGACTCAAACTTAACTGCGAAGAGTCTGTAGACTTGACTCCTTGATATAAAGGCATGTTGCAGAGCCGACTTTTTGGGCACGCCACAGCCACTGTCGCACACCATGGCAAGTGGCGATTGACCTCTGTCAGGGTCGACAGAAATTCCTCATTGCCAGGAACGTGGTCCGAGACCCAGAATCAGAATGTTCCTACAATCTGATGCTGAGTCAGTGCCTGCATTGGCATTGAGTATAAACTCGACCCATCCCTGGCAATTTGGGGCTCTTATAGCACGCCAGCTCAGCTGGAAAATAGCTATGTGGAGCTGGAATGAAATGCACCCGGAATCATACCCGTGAA